GACAGAGAGAGACAGAGAGACAGAAAGCGAGAAATCACCCCCCAGGGGAGATGGCCATGCCGCAATCCCTTCTCCTCCATTCTACTCTCAGGATCTTGGGCATGCACACACACGCCTAGCATGAGTTTTTTCTTTTTTTTTTTTTTTCCCAGCATGAGTTTAAGCCACCGGGTCCGGGACTTGAACCACAGTTGACTACATGGGAGTCCAGCGACATAGCCATTACGCTAGCTGATGGTCTCCCCAGTATGTTTTTTAAGCCACCGGGGGCCAGGACTCGAACTTGTGGTTGGTCATGTGGAAACCGGCTTTCTTCACCACCACATCACAGACCAGCCTGAATTCAGTCTCAAAACACCTGTCAGGCTTCACCTCTGCACATGTGAGGAACGTCATCGGGGTAGGGGACGGGCACACAGAGAAATCTGAAACACAGAGACGCTTCCCTGGCTGTGGCTCGGGAACATGTGGAGGGAGGTAGGGCCACATAAGCTCCCAGTCAGGCTGGTTTTTAAACAATGAGCTGGGGTCAGCACCCCAGCCCAGCTGAGTCACCACAGCTTGACAGCAAGCCCAGTCTTGGGGAGGAGAGGGAGGAGTAGCCAACAGAGAGACACTGGGGGGCAGAGAGGGCTGCTGGGGACAGTCTCCCAGGTTGTGCACTGCTCAAAGGTTTCCTGAGCTCAGCTTTGTAATCACTTGGAAGAAGGGACACTTTTTTTTTTTTTTTTTCTCACAAAGGTATACATAGGCGTTCACTGGGTCCCGGGAACAAGATCCCAGAGGGTGTTGGCACCCAAGTCCACCTACCTGGCTGGCCTCCCAGAATGTGGGCTGAACCCACACGTGCCGTGGAGCCAGGATGCAAAGGTTGATGAAAGCACAGCCCATGGAGATGTGAAAGTAGAAAGGGAAGAGTTTGCTCTGCACTAAGCCGAAGGTGTGCCGCGGAAGGGCTCGGAAAAGCAGGAAGCCTGTGGGGGAAGAGGGAGCCCCATGCCCGTTAGGATCCCTCCAAGTCCCCTTTCCATTCCCACTCTCAGTCCCCAGGACATGCGGGCAGAGGGCCCCTACCTGAAGCAAAGGTCACCCACATCTGCATGCCCCAGGCACCTGCCAACACCAGTAGATGGACCACCTTAATCAGCCCTCCAGGGTCCGCGCCTTCCTCCATGGTGCAGCCCTAGGAAAGAGGCATGGAAGACTCAGAGTTTGGACTTTGCCCCGGGGCCTTTAGACCCTTGCTGAAAGCCAGGGTCAAGGCCGGTCCAGAGAAATCCAGGGAAAGCAGCCCAGGAATGGGGACGGGGAAGACCCCCCAGCAGTCCTGTGACGGCCCCCGACCCCATCTCTCCCAATGTCAGCCCTCAAGATCTCAGACCCCAACGTCTATGCCACTTCTGAGACTCCGTCATTTTAGTCCCAGCAGCTCAAGCTGGCAGTCCTAGGTCTCTCAAATATCATCTCGGGGATCAGTTCTAACAGCCAGGATCCCGGATAGCATAAGAAGATTCCCTATAGCACCAAGCTAATCCTGAGAAATCCCAAATGCCATCTCGACTCCGCCATTGACATCCCGGACCTCAACCCGCAACACCCGGGTTGCCTCCGAAACTAGGCGCCAGGGCTGGATCTTAGGGTCCAGATAGGCTGAGCCCGGTACCTCACTCCCACGCTCCCGGGTGGATCGAGGACCTCCTCCGCCACCTCCCCTCGTGGGTCCCCGCACCGCTGAACCCGCAACCAATCAGATATTAGGCCTGCCTCCTCCTGTGCCACCCCCTTTAGGTATTGACTAATCGATGAGCAGAAACCAGCCTTAAGTCCCGCCTCCTCCTTGGGCTTTTGCCCAATTACGCCTCGGCTGCTAAGAGTTGCGGAAGCGGGAAGGAGCCAATGAGGCTTTCGGC